TATTGAGATTACGGTTTTTGGAAAATCCAAATCAAGAAGATTAATGGATACATCAAAAATATTATTATACTTGATAACGTACTCTAATATCTGGAAACTTTTTTAGAATTTCTTCTTCTGCCGGTAGACTTTTTATGTTGTTATAAGTCATTCCAATAACTGAGAAGCCGCGAAGTCGATTCTTGGGCAGCGTAAGCTAAATTATGGCAAATTATTGATAAAAGTGTTTAGCAGTCAGGCTTCTTACAAGTTGACCTAGAAAATCTGAAACTGAATTGTTTATTGCTAAAGATCTGAGCAGTTTGTTATTAAATCTTTAAAAAATATTTTTGACCAAGGATATCAGATTCTACTAGCCTCTAAAATCCATGGAAAGTAGAGTTTTATAACTTCTTCAAGAAGCAGTTCATCACTGTTTCAGTGTTCTTTGAAAATCTTACCGTTTCGCGCTGTCCACTATGACAATGTATTGCTTCATCGTCAGTATCACACTGACAATTATCAAGGCACTCGTAAAGGTATCCTGCAAAAAAAAAGTGAAAAAAATCCCAATACAATCTAATTTACAATTTTCCTGATATATCTTCTGGTTTTATGGGACTTTGAAGCACTACTCTACTTTTTCTGGCAGGCCTAAAATGCAATTTTCGTCAGTTAAGCAAGGAATGATGATAGTTTAAATTTCTTTAGTTGAGAATTATTCAGGACGTTGCAACCATTGAGCAAAGCCCTAATGAGATGAACCATTAAAAATTGGAACTTTTTAGCACTAGTAAAATTATGTAAGGGGCATCACTTTTGATCGTAGAGAAAAGTAAATCGTGCTGAGAAATGTATTTCAGTAAATTCTATTTCGGTTCAAAGTTGCTAATTAATTTAATAACCAGTCCTCATTTTTAAAAAGAATGACAGGCTTAAGAGGACAACAGGAAAATTAAAACAACTGTCGAAAACGAGGGCAGGAGATGTGGCATAAAAGTTCAACAAACTTTGTAAACTAAAACAGAACGAAAATAGAGCGACGTATTCAAGGTTAAAGGATTGAATCTATGCTTTTCTGGCGAAGAAACTATTGAGGAGATTATGTAATGAAGCATTAATTCTTATAGATTATACCTTGTATTGGGACGACAATAGCTATAGTGATCAAAGCTGCAATTTTCATTTCAATTCCGGTAGCTTTCAATGTTTCAGAAGCCCACAATAATGTAGCACTGGAAAATTTCTACAGTAGAAGCAGTGAAATAAACAATAAGAATAAATATCAGAGAACAGCAAGCACTAAGAGCGTGCTAACACATAACGTATTTATTTTTTCGACAAGAAATGATTTATTTTTAAAACTGCATGATGAATTGGAGTTGTACTTTTACTTTACATTTTTTTGAGAAAGTATGATTACCTTTGAGTGAAACTACATAATTTCTTTAATTGATCATTTTCTATAATTCAAGACCTAAAGTTCAACAAAAAAAGCCACTATCAAAAATAGAGCAACAATCAAACAAAAATGTGAACAGCAACTATGGTAGTCTTTAACGGTCTTCTTAATTTACACGATTCCTACACAGATTTACAACAATTACATCTTTGCTATCGTTTAAAGTTTCAAGTCTGCATACGTCGCTGCCTACGAAGCTGTTTTGAAGTTTTATTAGCTGCACTAAAAATTCACCTCCAAAAAATGCCCAACTGATGAGCTAAGCTTTACTTTATAAAAACAGTAACGTAACGCCTGCTGAGGCAACCCCTATGGTATTACAAAAAGTCACTGTGTAAAATTGAATGTTAAAAAGTTTTTTAATAAATCGTCATTTCAAGCACTAGTTTTGAATTCTCACTTTTTCTGAAAAAAAAAAAAGACTTTGATATCAGAACAATCTTTTATCAACCAATCTATCAACCGTATTGCGAAAAAAAGTTTTTTTTT